TCACTGGCTTTCTATCTCTGGGCTGTGCAACTTTGAAGAGCTTACTCATCCCATCATTCTAAGGCAAGGCATAAAGTCATTTTTGACATTTATGAAAGAAATTTGCTTACAAATACTCTCTATTTGATATCTCTAAAATCTAAGGGACACAGTTAAATTAATGTCACTAAAAGAGCTGGGGAAAATAAAATTTCTGCATGATGTTATTGCTTCAGCCTCTCAGTAGATCCTGACATAATGGTATCTGTAGCCTATCCAGACATCTTGGGAAGTCATTTCTGGACTCATAGTCTACACATTCGTGGGCTCTCTCTTGGATACCACAAAAAATCCCAGCCAAATAGTGCCATGTTGATGGTTTAAACAAATGATTTCAGTGGCTCTCATTGCCAAGATTAGAGATCTTAATTTGAAAAACATAGCAGCCTCTTTTTTCATTCATGATCATTTTATTGAGGGGATAATATGAGCTTAATGTTGTGCCTTATTTGGGGAACACGGGGATGAACAAGACAAAGCAGGGTCCCTTTATGGAGTGTGTGTGTTTAGTTCTACAGGATGCCACTGGAGTGGATTTGGTTAGCAGAGCAGCAGGTGGTAAGGCTTCAGCATCCAACACACCCGGATTAGAAACCCCACTCTGCCACATTCTAGCTTTGAGATTATGAACATGTCATTTGAACTTTCTGAAATCCAGTTTCCTCAAGTATAAAATGGGGATAATAGAACCTGGAATAAAACCAACCTCATGGGGTTGTGAACAGTAGTAATGACCCACTGCAGGCCCAGAAATAATATTGGTTATTCTTGCCTCTTCCCTAATTATGTTTGCCTTTGAAATGACTGAAAAATTATACTGGACTACACTCGAAATGATGGCCTAAAATCACAAATAAACCAAATTGAGAAGATAGTCTGCATCATAAGAAATTAATAAGATAAAAACATGTGCTTACCAAGCATTTAGCTCAAAATTAATTATGCTGTTCTAAAGACGTATACAAAGAGGAGTGGGTTGGTTGGTTGGTTGGTTGGTTTTTAAGTATGATTTTCTTGCACATGTGCCATCAGAAATCTATGGGTTGAACACGTGTACTGGGCAAAAGCTATACACTTTGGATGGCTCTGAGAAAGGCCACCATTTGTCTGAAGGAAAATTATGGGAAACCAAAAATCACCCATATGTGTATGAAGCATTTCTAGTTTCTGCTTTGCCTTCTGTGTCTAAGGTTATTGACAAAAGAGCAAGAAAAGCCTTTTCTGGATGAGAAAAGACCTACACTTTGGGTAAAATTTACCAAATACTGGCATCGTGTATTTATTCTTCAGTGTTTTATGTTTGCGTCCTTTTGTATCTTTACTAACTGAGAAGAACTCTGATTTATAAGGCGTTTGATAATCTTCCTGAGGTATCCTTTGTGGCTGAAAGCTTTTGGCGGGGGTCTGGAAAGCAGGGCCAGTATGAATATTTGGGAAAGGTTGCCTTCTTTTGTCAACTGAGTTCTTATGACTATGAGATTACCCTGTGCTAGGAAGGCTCCTCTTTTTTTCTGACTTCTTGCTGAGAAACTGCTCTCAAATCCACTTAGGAACTGATCCTACTATAATAAGATCTAAGGGAAGAGAATATAATCTTGAAGAAAGATACAGAAGCAGAAGGGAAGACAGTGCAGGAAAAGAAAAAACAGGAGGAAGGGCAAATTATTTGGTCATTTCTTATATGCAAGAATAATGTGAATATAGTACAGAACTCTCTGCCTTTATCAGATTCACTACAGCTCTATTATCTTCACATTTTTGGGTGTCATAATGTTATGGTCAACACCTTTGTTGGAGAGTGTCATCAAATACACTGGTCACGTAAAGGATGCCATGTGGAGAATGTTTCTCTGCCAACCTTGTAACAGAGGGCAGATGTCAGATCCCTTCAAAATAGTCTTTAGAGAGTACATGAGAAATGTTAAATACGATATCATATAACATGTTATCTATCCTAGTTAGCCATGAAAAATTCTGTAGGACTCTAAACCTCCCCTGTGAATCAAATGGGTAAATACAAATTAACATTTATATATTCAGTTACCACTGGTGAATTATTACTTCAGAGTAGCCAAGGGATTGGGAAGCCTAATGATAAGGAAAGGAGGTCTAATTAGACTTGCTGGGGGTCTCTCTAGAAGATTCTTCTATGCATAGGATGCCTTTAATATTCAAATCAAGTTCTCAGTTATATAAACTGTATTCAGCAGGGAAATGTTAAAGATACACAGCCTGGTTTTCAATTAGAAGAAACAAGCAATTAATGGTGAAATAGAAAATCAAAACAATACTTCCTGTGTGACTTTGTGAGATAAACCTACCTCATAAAATGCACAGACATTGAACTTCCAACCCACAAATGGCTGTGAATTAAAGAATGGCATTGCAAGAGGGTAGCAAACAGATGTTTAACATCTTTTTCGTGTTTATTGAGGAAAGTGGTCTGATAATCTAGTCACATATATTGAGTTTCTATTATGTACAGAGCACTAAACTGGGCTCAGATCAATACCAAAGTTGATAAAGTGATTAGAAACAAATATCTAACTACACTCTTTACAGACTACCATTAAGCTTAAATGTAGCAGTAAATGTTCGTTCCAAGCTTTTCTTAAATTTACCTGTAATATGTTACTTTCTGTTTTCATTTTTATGAATTCTATATAAATATGGAGGAATCATCTGGTTTTTAATTTCAAAATAAAAGGAGATAACTAAAAAAGATGGGAAAGAACAGCCATGAAAACAGACCCTGTAATTGTTCTAAATTGATGGCATAAAACCAAATTACTTAAAGGAATGTTTTTAAATACAAATCCCCAGACCCCATAGATCTTCCCATCAGAATGTGCAGGGATGGGACCTGGGTATATGCATTTGAAAAGACTGAATCTCAGTTTTTAAAAATAATCATCAAATAATATTACATAATGTAGGCGCACTAGGAATTTGTCATTTCTATGCAATAGGAAAAAGTGAATTTATAAAATCCTTACATAACATACTTTTTCTTTTTAGCAGGTCATGGCATCTAAGCCTTCAGCACCAGACTACTGGATATCTACCTAATAGATTATTTCTCTGTCTGAAAATAGTAGACATTATCACGGCCAATGCATTCTTCAGTTTGGAACTTTCTAGCAACCACATGCTAACTCAAGTTGAAAGGTTCTAAATACAGATGTTGTACATCCTGTACTCCTTTGGGGATGTAAAGAATCTTCCCTCCTCTGTCCTTGTCTTGTTGAGATGTGCTAGGCACCTTTGAGTAAAAGACTTCCCTTTATCAAGACTCAGTGTCATAAATAAATGGTGTGGGTGGGTGGGTAGTGTACATCTGTGATGACCTGAAACAGTGCTTCTTAGAGTGTGAGTCTCAGACCACCTGTACTAGAAGCCATCAGGAGCTTTTTAAAAATTTAAATTTCTATACCTGACCCCAGATATACTGGGTCAGAATCCCCAGGGGCAAGGCAAAAGAATCTAAATTTTAAATCAGCTACTCAGGTAGCTGCATACTGAAATTTCCAAAACACTAGATGAGGTGCTCTCTGAGGTCCCTTCAAGCCCAAATTTTTATGTAAGTCAGTCATCATTACAGAACAGACTGATAACCTTCTAATTTCGATCTGATGCTCTAATTTCTGAAAAATCCCGCTTTTCTTTTTCTGTTCTATTTTAACCTGCATGTTTAATTAATTCACAGTTCTCAACATGAATCAACACGTGGCTGCTAGAAAGTTGCAAACTGGAGATTTTGTTGGCTGTAACTTTGTCTACTATTGCGAAAAAGGAAAATGATCAAATATTTCCTGGTTTTTTTTTAAAGATATACATTAGATAAAGTATGGTGGAGAAAACACTCTCTTCTGAAATGACCTCTCCAAATAGTCTTTATATTTTTAACTACAAAGTGAACCATATGCAATATAATCACTTGCACATATTCAATAAAAAAGCAGGGTTAAGCCAAATCTTGTTACCACCAAGAATATTTGTACTATACGTAATATGTTTTCAATAGAAGGATTGAGACATTTTTTATTTGGCTTATAAAAGGAAATTGCTCTGTTCTCTAAAGGAACACAGAGAAAAGCTGATATATCTTCAGAAATATTCAATACAGTTCATATATTTTAAGAGTGAAACTCGTTATCTGCTGTTGATTCTTTAAGAAACTTGCCATGGTTGTGAATAACCTGGATGCTTCTAAGCTACAAAATAGACACCTTAGATAGTTTGATACAGGAGGTTTATCCCTTCACCTAAAAAACTCTGATTTCCAAAGGATGTCTGTGGCTTCTCTATTACTCAATGCTCCAGAATCCTTCATTAGGGGACATGGTACTTTTGTCTATAATCCTTAGTCCCTGGGAAAGGGAACGCAGTGGGTTCCATTTGGACTAACATGGAAGTGACTGAAAAAGTTCCTCCTGTGTTGGGTTTTCTCACGGAGGAGAAGTAGTAGTGAGATAATAAGGGCACCCCGAGCAATAAATGGTGCTCCATTGGGTTGGAGGTGGGCATCATAAAATTTTAAGAAGGTTCAAACAGGCAATCTTTTTATTCGTTTCCTGCAACCCACCCTCTTACCTGCTAATCACACGGGATCAATAATTCTTTGCTTTCTCACTGTTCCTAATGCCCACGTGAGAAAAAGAAATTCACTTCCCCCCACCACTCCCAATGTAACAGAAAATATGCCACACACCAAGAAAGGAAACTTCACTCTAGCATGAGAATATTATACCAGTTGAGATAAATTTATTGAGATTTTGATAGACATAGCCATGACTTCATCATGACAAGTCATGAGTGTCATGAAAATTTCAAAAGTAGTGTATGACAAGTAGGAGGTCAAGTTTCCAAAAACATCCCAGAGAACATCAGCCAGGGCAGGCAGCTTGAGGAAGCGTCTCCTTTTTCATTTTCCTCCCCTGGGACTGGAGGTAAGTTGGAAGGCAGTGTCTCTGAGGTTGATGAGCAAATGAGGAATGAAGGAGTGGATACGGGGGGAACCTGGAGATGTGCTGCTCAGCCTTCAGGGGAGAGAAGATTCTACGCCTCGGGGATTTCAGCCAATCAGTAGAGAGCAAATGGCCAGTATCTCCTGTAGCCAAAAGCCCCACAGCCATTGTAGCCGTAGCCGAAGCCATAGCCCACTGGGGAGTAGGTGCTGCCATAGCCACAGCCAACACTATATCCCAGCGGGTAGCCATAGGTGCCCCAGTAGCATCCTGGGAAGACAGCCTCGGAGAAGTTGTTGCAGTGCATGGTGTCGGGAGTGGAGGGCTTAGGTAGCAGAGGAGTGCGTTTCGTCAGTGGGATGGATTCCTGGTCTCAGAACCTTCTTTATATATCCTGGCTCTGGTGGGTGGTGAAAAACACAAAGCCCTCATTTTCATTCTTGACACCAATTTACATTCTTAAAAGCTCATTAACTTGTTTTGCTCTTGCTTATGATGGCTTTACAGTGGCTTAAGAAAGCTCTCATGTGATACAATGCAGCAAGAAGATGACTTTAAACAAATTATTTCCCTTCCTAAAAAAAAATTATTGCCAGGACTTCAAAGCACTCTGTCTTATAGACCCTGTATAACTCTCTGCAAGCAGGCATATAATATCAAGAAATATTCTGAGGTTGTTAACTGTTATGCAGTCCTCTTGCTCTCTGAATTCCCACAACACACAGTTGGAATTCGATAAATAGGTGTTAAATACATTAATAAATAACAAATGGATAGTGAGTTTATCTCAAAATTCTCAAAATTAAAGCATGTCTTAGTATTCACATGCTTCAAGGATTCTCTTCTTTGGAATATGAAATACAAGTACAATAAAACTCGTGAGAAAGAGTCTTTCTTTTTTTTTTTCTCTCTCTCTCTGTCTACAGCTACCGTGTTTGGGAAACTGGTTAAAAATGTAATCTTAATCATAGTCCCCTCCTAAACTATACCTAACATCACATTTCTAGAAGAGTGCTCGAATTAATAGTGTTGAGATTTTAAAATGGAGTATTTGGATTAATCCTTGTACTGAATTGTCAAACAAATTTAATTTTTTGACCTGAAACATGCTTTAAACTAAATGTTGAAACTAATAAGGTAAACACAGAAAAATGAATAAAAAAATTTATGGTAAGATTTAGAATGTTTTTTCTCTTAGATCTAATGAAACCAGATTGTCTGACAAATGTGATGATATTATAAAGGACCAGATGACAATATGAAATCAGTTATTTCACTTTTAGAATGATCGTGTACCCCAGGATAAAAAAGGAAAGTTATGCCTCTCTAAACAGAGAGTTAGTTCTCAAACATGAGTTAAAAGAGGGATAAGGCTGATCAAAACTATCTTGGATCATGTAAGACCTGATATATTATTCCCAGACACCTGTGTTAAGATTTCTTACAGTGGCACTTAGTAGAGAACTTACAGAACAAATACCCAAAGAGGGCACATGGAACAGAAATCGGCACAGAGGTAATAGGAATCATTCTAGAAGGCCACAAAACAGATATGTATTACACATGAGCTCCCCCAGATTTTAATTCATAACCCAGAGGTAACTTTGCTCCCTGCTATCAGCGGCTAGGGAGCAAAGGCTGAATCCAAGAACAAGACGAGACTCTTGGAAAATTCAAAACCATGCCAGTGTACTAGCCAGATTAATTAAATTAATTAATTAAATCTAATTAATGAAAAATAGATTACAGCAGAGGCATTTTTAAATATATATATATACATATATGTAATTTTTTCTGAAGTGGAGTCTTGCTCTATCACCCAGGTTGGAGTGCGGTGGTGCAATCTTGACTCACTGCAACCTCTGCCTCCTCGTTTCAAGCAAGTCTCCTGCCTCGGCCTCCCAAAGAACTGGGATTACAGGCGTGGGCCACTGCACCTGGCCTCAATTTTTTTATTTTTAATTTTTGTGGGTGCATGGTAGGTTTATATATTTGTGGAGTACATGAGATGTTTTGATACAGATATGCAATGTGTAATAATCACATTCTGGAGAATGAAAACAGCTATATTACCCTGCTTCGTGAGCAAACCTGGATGCCTACCTATGGGGATTCAGCAATTAAAATTCAAACACGACATGTGGCTTATAGCTAAACAAGTTCAGGGAATTGAAATTAGATTTATTCCCAAAACATAAAGGTATTCAACCACAGATCATTCCCTAAAAATCATAGAATGATTTACATTCTGTTTCTACTGGCATCACATTGCTATATTTCATGATAGAAAAGCTGATGCTAGGGGGAAAAAATTTAGACAAAAGATAGCATTGTTTAACGGAAAATTTAAAATTTTTGAATAAATATTGCCAAAGGTCAATTATGATGCTCTATTTAAATGAATTTTCCCATTTGCCTACCCAATCTGACAAGATGCTAGTTTTGCCTTCTGCAGCACAAAACCTAGCTCTGTACGTGAATAGTAATTAAAATATGTTGTCTTTTTTAAAACTTAAGCCCTATTTACAGAGAACAGCTTGGATTTTCTCTAGAAAGTCTACAGAAAATTCTAACAAAAGAAAATTTTGGGAGACATATCATTTATCAACAAGTCATTTAAAAATTAATAGCGAATTTAATCCTATATTGAGCCTATGAAAGCTTTTTTCTGATAATAGACTTATCAAAGAAAGTCAGGATTTCATAAAGCTTGGAAGTACAAATTTTTGAAAGCCCATTTGTTAAAAAGTATACAATGTAACAAATATAAAATTAAGTACAAAAGTAAATATTTGTTGAGATGCTTTAAAAAATCACAAAAAAAACCCTACCAAAACTTACAAATATTACAAAATTCAGAGAAAAAATATTATTTGTATTATGAATTGCCTGGCACACTACTATAATAGTTTTCTTTCCCACAGGCTAGCTTCTGGCTCCATCATTTCAAACTATTCTCCCCTCCACTACTCATCCTGTGCTGTATGCCACGGGAAAAACTCAGGCTAAGATAGGGCCTCTGGTCCTGCATTTTCACATCACACATTCTGGGTGGATCAGCAGAGTGGTCGAAGAATTCCTGGGAGCCATTCCCACATAAGAATGGCTAGAAGTAGCTTAATTAGATACAGAAGTGGCCGCAAAACACATAAATATATCCCACCGTGCCCAAACTGAACATATCACTGACTCAGCTTCTCCTTAACCAGATCCTAAAAAGATCCATGGCCTCTCTAATGCCATCCAACATGCGGGGAAATGTGATTGTGAGGCAGCCCAGTAGAAAGCAGCAGCATTTCAAACCAATTGCTGTTAAAATATTCTTTTGTAAATTTTCCCCCAAATAAGCTATGTAACTTGAAAGTTTACAAAAGAGAAAAATATATCCTCACATGTTAAATGGCACGGTAATAAACTAATCATTGTTAGATATTTATTGGCTTGGATAAAATTCATGACCCTCTTCTCTTTTAATAACAATCCTAAAATGCTGTTTAATAAATAATTTGACTTAACCTTTCATATTTCTTTGATTTCAAATAAGACCTGACATAAAGATAAGAAAAAATTCTGCTTTTTGACTTTCTACAAGGGAGCAGGAAATATATTGTGTACAAATTTCAGAAACAGAGTCAATTACAATGTGCACAGTAAAAATTTCCCTGTCATATCGGCTTCAAATATAATGTTTATACCTTCAGCATATTAACATTTATTAGAAATGAAAGCTAAATTAGAATGGAATGTTTTTGTTTGTTTTTATTTTTGTTTTTGTTTGGGGGTTTGTTTTTGTTTTTGATTAGTTTATTTTGTGACAGAGTCTCTCTCTGTCACCCAGGCTGAGTATGTGGCATGATCCTGATTCACTGAAACCTCTGCCTCTCAGGCTCATGCGATAGAATGGGATGTTTTAAATGAGTTTTAGAATATATATCAGTGATATATACAATACAAAATTATCTTCCATACAGTATAAAAATTATCTTCCATTCATCTTTTTAAACATCTATTCTTACAGACATTTATTGAGCGTGTATTATGTTCCAGACATTGTGTAGGTGCTGGAGATCCAAAGATGAATGAGAAATGGTAATTAAATGAGGAATTATAAATAAATGAAATACCTGTTATATGTTCTACCCTAGAAGTCCCTTGTAGAGGCTTCCCCTTGTAGACTTGGGAATAAAGGACACAGTGGATGATTCTACCTGAAGTAGGGGCTACTTGCAGGAATGTTTCAGCATGAAGGGGATAGATACATAAACTGGGTCTTGAAAAGGGATATTTTACTGGTAGACATTGGCTAGAGTATAGTTGGATCTAGGAAATATTCCAGAAAGAGGAAGTAATTTAAAGCAGAGTTTCAAAGATGTTAAATAGCCAAGTGTCTTCCAGGAGCCACAAATTATTCAGAGGGATCATAGCCTTGGATATGAGAGAATAATTAATGGAAGGTGGTGCCAGGAAGGTAGTCAGGGGGCACCTGTGACTGTATGTGTTGTGGAAGGAAAGGAGCCACTTTATACACTAAGATGGGAGTGACATGATCAATTTTACACCTTAGAAATATCACTACTCTGAGACTGTGGAGGATGCATTAGAATAAAGAAACCCCAGAGGTAGAAAGACCTGTTTAAAACTTTATTAGAAATGCTTGTGGCTGCAAGTAACAAAAATCCCATTTGAAAGTTGATTAAACAGAAAGAATTTATTTTTCACAAATAATAGGAAATGAGAACATAAGTAATTCCAGGGTTGCTTCAGGCCTTGACAGTGTCAGTGTTCAGGGCTGGCTTCACGGTGATTCCCTCAGGAGGTGCATGCTTCACATTCTTACACATCAACATCCAAAACCAGGAAGGGAAAGAGGGCTTCTTCTCAACAATTCCTCTTCATTTTGTTTCAGGAAGGAATATCTTTCACATTTGTCTTGCCATGGATTTCCTTTGGGGCCCATTGTCCAAAACTGAGTCACACCTCATGGTTGAGTTATAAGGAAAGGTGGAAAAGTGTGCATCTGGCATTTCTGCCTTAATGGTGTGAAGCAGGCTCCGGAAGCATAGAAAGAGGGAGAGAGAAATGGTCATTGGATTAATAATCAATAGTGTTACCACAAAAGCCATCACACTAACTTAGGCAGGAGATAATGTGGGCCTCATAAAATTTATTATCCCTACAGTTCTGGGTGCCAGAAGTCTGAAATCAAGGTGTCAGCAGGGCTGGCTCCTTCTGCAGGGACTGAGGGGATAATTCCTTTACTTACCTTTTTCAGCTCCTAGAGGGCATTTGCATTCTGTGACCCGTGGCCACTTCCATTCATCACTCCAATC